GGAAGAAGAAGAAGAAGAAGAAGAAGAAGAAGAAGAAGAAGAAGAAGAAGAAGAAGAAGAAGAAGAAGAAGAAGAAGAAGAAGAAGAAGAAGAAGAAAGCCATAGTTTGCAAACGGAATTACACGCCCATTCATTACATTACATTGGCTCTGCAGAACCTCTGACGACATGAAAGTCGACTTGACTTTTTCAGCCGTTTTAACATATTATACTTTTCAGCTTGGATTACTCGAGATTCGAGCCCTTTTCAAAACCAGCAGACTATCACATGACGGCGCGTGATTGTCAAAGTCACAAAAGAATCCATGATCTGGAAATAAGGAACACTGACAGAAAAGAAAGTATCCAGATAAACAATACCTTTTCTAATATCGCTGGTTTTTAGTAAACTGGAGGCTTTTGCGTTTTTTTTAACAAACAAAAATTTGGAGTTAAGCGTTATAAGTTATAATGGGTTTTATTATTAGCCTGGTGTAGCCGTACATCGCCCGAATTCTGTTAGGGTATAGATTTTATTTTGGGCTTTATGATAATGTCCAGACTCTGGTCATCAAGAAGCACGATCTGACTCCAGTGACCTTTTTCGAAGTGCAACAAAGCTTAGATCTACAATAAACCATGTCGTTGAAAATTTCGGGTTTATTTTACAAAATCTGGGATCATTGAAAGTGAAAGTTGTTAGTTGACCTGACTGAACTAGACCACCTGATCCTAGGTTGGCGACCGGAGAGACCCAGATCAACAACGTCAACTAAGCCTTGGGGCCTGATTGTTTCCACAAGTATTTCTAGTCGTTGCAAGGAGGCATTTGTGATACAGATTTGAAAATGTGCGACCACACTGTCTTGCATAGCGGTTACCATCATCCTGCTCTTAGAGCATGGCAGTCACAAAGTGCTACGATTTCCCCCGACAATTTGATGTACCCACTTTTCATTGTGTGAGTATACTATAGATCTAGAAGTGACAGTTGTGTTGTTTTAACTTGTTTAACTGTGTTTATGTGGAGTTTAGAAATCCTGGTTTGAGGTTTATCTGAGAAAGATAGGAGAAATTGAAGAAAAGTTCATCCTGAATCCATGACCATAACCTGATCTGCCAGGCTTTGGACTTTGGTTTAGGAAGTGAGTATTCCCACCCAGGGTGGGAATGATTTTTTGGGCTATTCCCACCCGAGTCGGGTCACTTTTCATCTTTTCTAGATCTATATATGATGTCTAGATTCTTCTAGATCTAAATCTAGATTCTAGATCTAGTTTTATAAGATGTACTAGATCTAATACAGGCTGAAGGCCGACCTCTAAACCTGAGATGAGAATTAGTAGATCTAGAAAGATCTAAATATTAGACTAGAGATCTAGATTCTAGTAGGCCTCTACAATTTTATGCTGGGTTTGGAAATATTGAGCACATTTGTACGAGAATGCTAATGCCTAATGTTAAGAGGTAAAGGTCACTTTTAGCTTTTGAATTTTCTGACCTATCAAACCAATCTCATTGAAAGCAAAGAGGTAAAAAATATTCATATACATATGAAAGTAAAACTGAATCATGCGCCCAAGAACACACACACACCTTAGTCAAAAAATGGCTGAAGGTTTACAAGAACATATAATTATATAAATTCGGCCTATAAATTCATAAGTTAGTTTTCTTCTCTTCCCACATGGGAATAAAATTTGGTAGCCATGGGGGGGGGGG